TTCTCCCTCCACTGTGTCTGCTGGGCTGCCTGGGCTCGGGAGCAGCCCACTAGTTCTGAGAACATGTCCTCCCGCGTCTTCTTCTTCCTCCGCCTAATCTGCGCTAGCCTCTGGGAGTGTGCTGACAGGCTGGGTTGGGAGACAGTCGCAGATGTGTCTGTGGGAATGGGAAAAAGGGAGTGAATTCCTGAGACAGATAAATGAAGTTGTGTACAAAGAACCTAGTCTTTCTCTGTGAACAAGACCATGCACTGCACCTCTCACATGCGCACTCAGGACAAGGTCGAATTTTCGGCCCTCGCCTTCAGTGCCTGGGGTCTTGCAGTGGTCTTGCAGTTATCTGAGAAGCGGGGCAGGACACCTGAACTTCTGTATCGGGCAATCATGGTAAGCCGAAGACTTGTGGCTGCTTAAAACTGTAATAGTAGCACTGGCCTCCTTTCACATTGAAAGCAATGCCAGTCTCTGCTGCCAGCAATCAGGACAGCATGAACTCTGCCCCTGTCCCACCCCCTCGCGGCTGTCCCAGGGAAAGATCCCTGTATGCTGCCCCTCTCCCTCCACCGCGTGGCTGTAAAGCAGTCCCAATACTAACATTCCCCTCCCTAATTCAAAGCAGAGCATCATGAGCGACATCACTCTCATGAGGATCTCGGACAGCGAGAAGGAACGCATGCTTAGGGAAAGCATGCAAAAACCAGGGCCGTATGCTGCCATGCTCTGCCGTGCGATGATCCCTGAATACTTGATTGTGTCGTGGCGGGGAAACGTGTCTACCACGGAGGGCCCAATAAGATCGCCCTACCCAGGAACCTGATGAACAGGCTGGAAATGTACCTCCATGAGACCTACGAGGAGTTCTCCTATGAGGATTTCGCGTCTATCCCCGGCCATATTGACCGGATTTTCGCGTAGGTGCACTGGGACTAAAGAGTGGAGCGTCTTGGGCTGCAGAATCATCAATTACCGGACATTGTAAAAATTTTTTTAAATACTTGGGACTAAATAGTGAAGAGCCTAAGGCAGACAAATCATGAGAAACCCTTTGTTACTATTGTAAATATTCCAGTTTTGTTGCAGATAATTGTTTACATGTTTAAAGCACTTTAGGAAAAACCCATTGTTAATATTATAAATATTCCCGTTCTGTTAAAAATAAATGTTTACATGTTTAGAGCACTTACTGCTTGATCCTTCCCCTGATTCTGTGTCCGGGCTAACGGCTGGGGACGGTTGGTAGGGGATCTCGGTAAGGGTGATGAAGAGCTCCTGGCTGTCGGGGAAATCAGCGGTGCCAGCGCTGTCGACTGCCTCGTCCTCCTCATCTCCTTCTTCATCTTCCCCGTCCGCTAACATGTCCGACGAGGAACCGGCCGCGGACAATATCCCATCCTCAGAGTCCACGGTCAGTGGTGGCGGCCGCACCTAGGATGGAATGCAGTGCCTCGTAGAAACGGGATGTGTGGGGCTGGGATCCGGATCGTCCGTTTGCCTCTTTGGTTTTTTGGTAGCCTTGTCTCAGCTCCTTGATTTTCACGCGGCACTGCGTTGCATCCCGGCTGTATCCTCTCTCTGCCATGGCTTTAGAGATCTTCTCGTAGATCTTAGCATTCCTTCTTTTGGAGCGCAGCTCTGAAAGCACGGACTCATCGCCCCACACAGCGATGAGATCCAAGACTTCCCGATCAGTCCATGCTGGGGCCCTCTTTCTATTCTGGGATTGCACGGTCACCTCTGCTGGAGAGCTCTGCATCATTGCCAGTGCTGCTGAGCTCGCCACGATGTCCAAACAGGAAATGAAATTCAAACTGCCCAGACAGGAAAAGGAATTCAAATTTTCCCGGGGCTTTTCCTGTGTGGCTGGTCAGAGCATCCGAGCTCTATGTCGAACTAAATAGCTTCGTGGTGTGGACGGGTGCAGGGTTAATTCGATGTAACGGCGCTAAATTCGACATTAAAGCCTAGTGTAGACCAGGCCTAAGTGTGCATATAGATAAGTCCTTAAGTGATGTGGCAAATGAGCAACTGAGTAGGTGGCACTCCACCCTCTCCTAGCACTGAATTCAGTGTCTCAAAATGACAGTGAAAAGCATTGTGCTGAAGTTTTATTGCTGTCCCTTCAGTTTTTCCCAACCATTCCATATTTTTTCTAGCTCTCAAAATTATTTTTCTATTAAAAACTAATATGAACCGCTCTGTTTTATTTTCACTCTATTATGAATGAAACCATGAAGAGTATTTTACTTTGAATCAGTCTCAAAAATTAACATACATTGACAGTAAATATTTGCTTCTGCCTTTCTCCTCCTTCAGACACTAACCATGAAGACCACAGGCTTGCACAGAGGTCATTGCATATGTAGCAGATTTAGCAGTCTTATCACCCAATAGATGCTTAGATGCTTTATTCACTCAAACTAGGAAGTTGTTTCATTTTAACCTTTCAGCTTATCACTGATAACAGAAAGATCTCTTGAAAAGTCAAAGGAAATTCTCCTAGCCATGCACTAACAGATGAGGCTATGGGAATTTGTGGCTATGAAAGAGCCAAAGACACTCAGCACACAAATATCAGATCCACCCAAAAGAGAAAAGAGAAAAGCATGGACATCTGCTTATGGGGCCATCTTTCTTACCACTCCAATTTTCTTCTACAGACATTGATACAGTTCAACTTTTTTTGTTATGGATAATAGATATTACATATGGAAAATTACATAAAAGTGTGAATAGAACTTCAGATTTCAAAGATGAAAACATTACAGAGGCAAGCCATGAATGCTACCTAGCCCTAGTAGAGTGAGGCTGAAGACAAGGCAACTGATACACACATGCCGAGGGAGCCAAAAGGAAAACAGATTCAGAGCAGAGGACCTTCACGCTACCATAAAAAGAAGGTCAACAGGTTCCAATTAGTGGAAAATTAATTATTTGCACAGACAGGAAATTATCACACTCTAAGTGGTCAGTTACAGAGAGCAGTAAACTTAAAACTGCTCTCTAGACAACAGCAGAGCAAACTCAAGTCAGATTGCAGTGCTGCAACAGTCTAATAGGGAAGTTTGAACTCAAAGAAGGAAGTTGGGAGATACAGAGAGTGAATGGGAAACAAGTGACCTTTGCGGCAAAATAAGCAGGTCTAACCCTGAGAGCAGTGTCTACACCAGTGGATGCCTATGTATGAGAAATATCTATTAGGTAGCTCACATATAATCCATTCATTATTCTTTAGCATGCCCTTCACTACTTTTCTTCATCACTGACAGATTATTGTCATGGCAGCATAGATGCTCTCCTCCAGCATCACTGTCAATGGCGCTCCTTGGATGACTATTGAAGTGATGAGAAAAGCTCTTTGGCAACCCATTTTATGCAAAATACATGCAGAGTTTACAACAACATTGGGAATAAAACACTGGACTTCCTGAATGCACAAGTCAACGACATAATCACAAAGCTGGCACAGTGAAACACATCACTAACTCTAATGCTCCTACTTAATCTCTCCCTGATGAACGCTCCAGTTGTTTAACATAACCTTTCCCAAAGCTACAACCTTGCAGATACTTTGATTTATAGATTGCCTCTCCAGGAACACCTGATAGTTGAAGCACATAACACAGAGACTTTGTAAAGGGGATTATAAAATTACTCTTTGCTTTAGACCAGAGGTTCCCAAACTTCCCCCTTTGGAGATTCATGTCCCATGTGTGCCCCCCTCTTTTTAAGGGGTCGAAGGCAGGTGTTCCTTGTATCCATGGGGGCCAAGGGGAAGGGGTGCCCTGTATCCACAGGGACTGGGTACTCATCATATGGCAGTTCAGGAAGCCTTCCACTACCTATAGTAGTCGGGCAGCTGCCAGGACCCAGCTCCCTGCCCATCTCACTCCTCTCTCATGCAGTAGAAGCAAATGGGGCTGCGCTGAAGGGCCAGAGAGTTAAAAAGGGAAGCAGAAGGATGCACCCTGTGAGTATTGGCACCCCTTCAGGACAGAGCCCCCTCCTGACGATGTCCCTTCAGCACCACTCCATCTGCTTCCCCTGCACAGGCTCTGTTTGGCAGGGGAAGCAGACAGGGCTCTGAGCCCCAAGGCTACACTGAGGAGGGAGCTCTGTCCAGCAGGGGTATGAGCATCCTGAGGTACAGCCTTCCACTCCCTGCTCACAGACTTCCCACCAGTCTCTCCCTAGAGGAAGGTAACTGCCAGTTGGTGACATTGTGGGGGAGCAAGGCAGGTAGGGAATCTGTTCCAGGCAGCTAAGACTGTCCACTGAGACCACCCACACAGACCCCTTGTGACCCCAGCCCTTCATTGTGACTGTCTTTGGACCCTTTGATAACCTTGTTGGGGAACACACCCCAAAGTTGGGGAACCTCTGTTTTTGACAGCACATGAAAAATACAGATCCAGACAAAACAATGAAACACCTACATGCCCTTCCCTGTCTCAATTTCCTCACCCCACTGGAAATGTTCTTTGGGCTTATGTCAAGTTGTCTGGGATGTCCAAGACCTTCCCATCTTCTCCTCCTGCATACCCTTCTTTTTGGCTTCTGGTCTCTTCTCCTTCTCTCTCTCTAAAATGGCTAGTGAGAATCCTCCTTTTAGAAAGTTGATGTCCCCTCAGTCATGTGGCCCACTGATCAACCTCATCAGCTGCTTAAAGTCCCCCACCTACAGCAATTCCTTCATCCAACTAGAGCTCTGTTGATGGACTGTGAATTAAATTCCATCCAGTCATCTGTAGACAAGGCTTCATGTCATAATCATGACTCCATATGCAGTGAGAGAAAAAGGATAACAGACATGTACTAACAGTATGCTAAGAATGGAAAGAAACACCTTATGAAACAGGGCTGGTGTGGGAGATGAAGAAAGCAATAAAATAAAAACTAATTGTGTTTCCAAATAAATACTATGCTTTGAACTCTCAAGGACATGCACATTTTCTTGCTGTCATTACTATAATCATTTGAAACCGCATTTGGTCAGCAATTACCTTTATTATTTGTAGCTGAACCCCTTCGTCTGTTTGAGGACCTTGAAAACAGCCACATATTGTCTCAATAATTCTATCGATTAATTTTTTGCCTGGAGCTGTACTGTCTGGAGCATTTCCAGTCAAGTGCCCATATGCTATAAGTTTCTGAAGGAAAAAAGAAAGGGAAATGCTAAATAAATCCAACCTTGCAATCGAATATGTAGATTCACATTTATGACACAAATGAAGTCAGGATAATTAGAACAGTGCAGTGTATCCCAAATCACAGTACATTTCAAGCATTTGTAGAAAATCCTTCAAGAGCATTCATGTTCTTATCCAACAACTGCAACATCACTCAGTATGAAGTTTATCAATTTAGCTTACCTAAAACACTACAATTTACAGTCTGTAAACATTTACTCAAAATAAAAACTGTCAACAATTTTAACTGGATTCTGAGACTGACTCAAAAATTATACAGATATTCACATTACATTTTTACCTATTACATCTGTACTATGCGATGTCATAATACACTTAACAGAAAGCAAGTTTACAGGATGACTTTCAAGGCTGGCAAATAAAATTGGAACCACTAGGTGTGTTTTGGTTTGCAAGTATTCACTTGTCTTTGCATGTGTGCTTCAAATCTTGTGAAAAGGAAGAGTATTCTAAAAAAACAGAATTCTGTTCTCTGAGCATTCCAGCCATGAGACTACTTGTAAGTCTCAATAACCTCCCTACTCACAATAGAGAGAGTAGACAGGCAGCATAGTGAGACTGTATGCCAGGTACGCATGTGCCTATGAATACAAATATATGCACTGGGTTCATTGTTCTCAGGCCACCTAGGAGAAGACGGACAGAATTTTTGGTAGACATCTTAAGCTTTTTTTCAGAACAATATTACAGGACCAGGATGGAAAGATTAATCTGCTTTACATGGGAAACATGTTATGGGCTCAAACTAGAGTATTTGTAAACTTTGACTATTTTACTGCAATTATGAAGAATATAAAAAGTTTTACAGTAATATACCTGTTCTGGTAGCAGACATTTAGCCTTTCAGAGAGTTGTTTTCTATACATGCACATTAATACAAAAGATTGAGGTTTGGGACAAGTTACATTATATATAAATTAGTATACAATTAACTAGTTGTAGTTAATATAAAGTATATATATAGCTAGATACATTTTCTTCCTTTGCTCTTCAAAACTAGTCTACAGTTGTCTGAAAAAAATCATATACATTTTGGTTAGTATGTCCCATACAGTAGCTGAAAAAGACATTCTTCCTTAGTTACATTTATCCATCCTCTTCCCTTCAAACCAAACAAGACTTTCTTTCAGACAGTTAATAAAGCCCAATTGTATACAGACCTGTAAACAATCCAGGGATGTACTAACAATCCTGGGGCACTTAGACTGGCATGCCAATTCGAATGGTAAGAAGTACTTGTCGGCTTCAATAAAGCTTGTCTTTGATTTCACTGGTGGAAGTGTGCTTGAACCAGGCTTTGCTTCTCCATGAGGGGGACTAAACAGAATAGTCTTATCATTAGAATGTAACAAGTATCTACACTTAAGAAAGCCTTCCATCACAATACTAGTTTTTCCCTCAATTTTTTTCCACTTGTTCTTAACCTCAAGAAGGGAAATGATATATTGAAAACTGATTTTTATTAACTGAAACTATCAGAAAAAAATGCAAGAGGATTGTAACTTGCAATAAGCAAAGACAAATCTGTTATAACCCAATAAATATTCTCAGTATGAATATAAACTTTGGTTCTACCTGAAAGATTCCTTTTTTTAGATCAGACAGGTCCCATTGATTCCAACAGTGGATCTTCAGTTGCTCTTGCTGATTTGGAGGCAGGCAAACTTGTTTTCTCTGAATGCAGGTGTAACCCACACACCTCCTGGGTGTGGTGTTCGGTCCCCTCTAGTGGCACTGAGACCACTTAGAGATTAATGAGTCTGCTCTACAGCCTTAGCTAAGCCATATGGCTTTTAGTCATGCAGTTAGCTCCAGTAGTCCTAGGTTCGATCCTGCCCGCTGACGACCGGGGTCTGTCGGTGTTACTCAGGTATAGTCCCTCCCACTGAAAAGTCTGCACAACAGAACTTTCAGAGCTGTGAAATACTCCTTAGAATTATCTAGATCACAACTTGCTACTACAGAGTAAATCGTAACTCAGACAACACTGCTTCTTGCAAAGCATGGAGACTAATGATTAGAACATCATCCTATAAGATCCCTCATATCCTTTTGGCAATGTAAGCATTTGAAAGGTGAGCCAGATCTGTAGACTTTCTCGATCTAACAAAATATGCAGATGAGAACAAAAATGATTATATTCTCTTCCTCTGGCAGGTCCACAGACTATAAGAGTGGGATTCTTACAGTAGTATCCACTTGAAGGACCTTTGAACTGATTACAATAATTATATACAATTTCTTATAAAAACTGCAATTTTTGAACTATTATTTCATGTATCACCTTCTTTTGAAGGAGCTGTCCACTAATACTTATATCTAATATTTAGTGAAAGTGGAACATTAAGACCAGCCAGTTCTACTGCATATCTCTTCATAAAGAGTAAGAAATGTCTATGCCAATTTTGGTTTTTGATGGGAGATATTTTCACTTTAAACTTCTAGAAGACTTAGAGGTCTTGTTGTCTCTGACTGCTGGATGGCACAGGACAAGTAAGGACGATTTTCTAAACCTTTTGGTGCGTGCATATATCTCTGACAATTTGGACTACATCTTCTCCTTAAGGTGATTTGGGGAGGGGCAAAAAGCAAGTGATCACAACTTCCCAAGTTCTGTGAAAGACTATTCATTTTTGCAGATGAAAACAGAATTTGTCCTCACAACTATCTTAGCCTGAAGAAAAGAGCAGAACTACAAGGAAACAGATACATTTCTTGAAATGGTTCGAATTGATATTTAGGAAGCACTTCCAAAACTAAATTAAAGTACCAGAGCAGGGCAGTACACATTTGTTGTGGAGTTGTTCGAGTAGCTGCTTTAAGGAATTCCTTAATAGTCAGGCAAGAATATATTTTCTTTTTACTTTATGTTTCCCGGATAGAGAACAGAGCCAATACTTTGATATCTTATTTTAAAACACAGCAGGGGCTCCAGTTATACAGGTTACCTCTGAATATATTTGACTCTTCACCAGTTTAAGAAGTGAACTGTATTAGTGGATATCTTTCTTGAACAAAGCATGGTTGACACCACCCCAAGTTTCCCTTAGTTCTTAGTCTCCACCATTGAAAAAAAAAAAAAAAAAGGAGGGGAGGGGAGCTAGATTCAAATCTTTTTCAATTCAGCATTTGGATTTTTATAAAATCGGCAAGAGATGCAGTTTTCCCTGATATTGTTTTCTTAGAGGCTACCTCCTCAGAGATTCCTCCACGCTCTGAGCTCATTTGAAATTCCCATGCAGGCCGTTTTCTCTTAGAAGGAAGATGTCAGATCTCCTTTGCCCACCTCTGGTAGGGCTCTGAGGGCGGTACACACTATTCATGCTGTAGGGTGTTAGCACACTCTGTGGATCTAGCCCAGGAGAACCCAGGGATTCACTATCATGCCACTCTAAGGCCAAGTTCTGAAAAATTCGATGGATTGGGTAGCTTATGGGGGGGGGGGGGTCATGTTGAACAGTACAGGGAAACCCTGTTCGGTGGGAGTTCAATATGTAAGCCACATGGATAGGATCTCAAAGAAACATTAAGGACCTGCCCCAGCACAGCCTGATGAAAGAAGTCACTGCTATTGCTTGAAGCTTAGGAAGCCCCTTGAAAAGGAGCTGCATAACCATAATGTTCCACTTGTCTCTGAACACAGAATCTTCAGGTAAGCTCAACTACTGCTGATGCTTGGAAAGAGCGGGCAGATCCCCTGCAAAGTAGAGCTGTTTACTCAAATGAACATCTGAGTCAGACCTAGCAGTCAGAAGGGTTTCACAGACCCAGGAGACCACCTCTGCTGAGTTCACAGTTAGCTTCATGAGCAGACGAAGCTGTCTGAAGCAACAAAAAAGCCTTGCTCCTGCTTTGGAGTCCACCATGAGGGTTGTGGTTACACACAAAAAACAGCTGAGGCAGACCTGGCAACCAGTTTAAAAAGGGGCCTAGGAAATGTTTGTTACACACAATGTAGCTTGTCCTGGCTTGCGGCATTGATCCTGGGTAGTGTTTGGTACTCGTCCTCCATTTGTAGCAGGGTGGATAAAAACAATGTTTTTTTTGAAAACATTAAGTATTTTTTTATTTAAACCGGATTTTTTTTATTTTTCTATTAAAATTTTTTTTTTTACTAAACCTGTTTAAAATTAAATCTGAATGTAATAGAAAGTGTTTTAAGGCCTAAATTTACTATAATCTCTTTAAATAAAAAATAAATATGCTGAATCCATGAGCCTCTATCAAAAGCTTTGAGTTAAAGGTTGCTTTTTTATATAAGGAAAGAATCAGGGGGAAACCATCTAATTTTTGAGGTCAAACTTTATAAATAATGGTATAATAGGTTATATGCTGTATTAAGGGCTCGATTCTATGGGAGACCCATGGGCTGTGCTACTGGATGCAAAGGACTGGCAAATTCATCATAGATATTGGGACCCAGCCTCTGACTCCAGGAGACAACATTGTTCATCTCATTAGGATATCCACTGAACCCATCTGGGTATCTCATGCTCCTATTTTATAGCTTCTTCCTGCTTGAGTTCTGATTGGCTCCATAATATTATGAATATTATGACTCCGCCAAGCACGGAAACTTGCACTCTAGCTCATGGAAAAACACTGATCTACCAGCCTTTACTTCTGGATGGTTTTGGGCACGTGAAATAATGGCCTTGCTGTCTCCTTGCATATGTCCAGAGAGAGATATAAACAGAAATCCATTAGTTTCTCAACAGCCTCCCTCTCAGTCTCTAAACAAATAAAATACTGCAGTGCAGTCTAACGTGGGTTACACAAGCAGAAGTCTCGGACTGTTATTTGGTCTTTTGTTTTTCTGGGGGTAGAGGTGCGGCAGGGAATTGTGTAACAAGGGAGAAGGAGCAGAATGTGCAACCAGACAGGAGCAACACTGGTGTCAAAGCAGGACACTGTGGGAAGAAGGGACAACATTTTCCAGAGTGAAGCCTCTAGTGTTGATTTCAACACCTAGAAACTGGAGAAAAAAATGTCATAGCTTCAAATCATAAAAAAAGACCCTATCTGGGAATATTTCAAGAAATTCCTGTACCTCTGGGTAAAAAAGGAACTCCTGCCAAATGTAAACAGTGCAACAAAGATACAAGGCCTGGTAGTCAGAATGAAACAACATTATGAAAAATGTTCCTCAGAAAGGAATGACTTAAGATGATGATGTGGACACGTTTGAACAATCTGCATCAAATGGTTAGTAAAGAATGCTGCAAAAATAAGCAATGGACTGCTTACCATGTCTTACTATGCTAGCAAATTATATAAGTAGTCAACACTGGACTAAAGAGAAATACAGAAAATATGGTGAATATAGGAAACCTATTTCCATAGCCTTGAACAAACTGCAGAAAGATTGCTGCAATATTGCTGACGCTGTTGAAATTCATAAGGAACTTCCAGAGACACTGAAGAAAGAAATACCCAACAACAAAGTTAAATTGCAGGCAGTAAAGAAGTGGATGGATCAAACGCTTACTCCACCTCATTTTCTTGCCAATATTCTCAACCCAAAGTGCCAGGGTTGATCCTTAATGGATGAAGAAGATGCTTCTACTATGACTTGGGCATCTAATAATCACCTATCAGACATGTCAACCATAATAAATTTCAGGGCTTAAATAAAATTCAAGCAGTACGTTTGCCAATGATGTTTTAAAGAGAGTCACACCACTGAAGTCACTAGCTAAGCACCTGGAACCAGAGTTTGTTGACGTATTAATCCAGCTTTTTGCAGCAGTAGCCTCTTAGAATATTTTCTTCATTTGGACTGATTCATTCAAGGTTGAGAAATCGATTGGGAGGTGAAAAGATAGGAAAACATCTCTCTCTTCCAGGCTACGAATAAAAACAAGGAGGAAGAGGATATCTACTAGTTTTAAAAGTTTGAAGGACAGCCTAAGTAACTTAGAAGACTGTTGTTTCATTTTCAAGAGAGTTAGATGAGTATGAACTTAAGCTCCAGTCACTTTCAATTAGGCATATCTGAAAATTTTCCCAGACTGACCTGAAATAGTAAGTTTAATTCACGGACTACAATTAATCCTTCTGTTCCTTTAATAAATCATGTGAAAGTGAAACATGCTTTGATAAGAGAAGTTTATATGTCCGAAACATTAAAATTTTATTTACAGTTGTGTGTTTAATTAAATTCCAGTTAATTTCCTAAAGCAGCTTGACACAAATCATGAGCAAAAAGTTAATTATCTAGTAAATAAGCAATGTAATTCACCATTTTCTAATATACTAAACATGTACCATTAAGAATCTGAAAATACGAATCTAATTAATTAAATAAATGTATAGCTATAGTATACCCTCC